CATCTACTTAATTATAATAAAATATCAAGGCTTTGTTTGGTTTGCTTTTGAGAGAGTAATTTTGGATAAAATTTTTCAAAATTTTATTTGGTTTAATGATTTTGGAAGTGATTTTGAAAAATAATTTTCAAAATCACTTTCTCTCTCCTACACATCAATCAATCACTTTTTTTTTCTTTCTTTTCTCATTCTCAATCACTTTTTCTCTTTCACACACATCTACTCAACTACAACAAAATTTCAAATCATCCCAAACTTCTATACTCTAAAATTATTTCCAAAATATACAACCAAACAAACTAAAAAAAAATCTAAACTCTCTCTCCAAATTTTTTTGGAAAGTTTATCTCCCAAAATCAAACCAAATACACCCCAAATCATCCCAAACTCTCAAACTTTGAAACTATTTTCAAAATATATAACCAAACAAATTAAAAAAAATTATAAACTCTCTTCCCAAATTTTTTTTTGAAAATTTATCTCAAAACACAAACCAAACACATTATCTCTTTAATTTTTTATATGTCTTTTCGTAATAAATAAATAGTGAATTACACAAACACTCTTTGAGGTTTGATCTAATTACATTCCATCCCCTGATGTTTTGAAAATTACATTCTTATCCATGTAGTTAATAGTCTCATTTCATAAACCCCCTTATTTATATAAAAATGTAACAACTCTTAATAGAAAAATAAAAGAAATTACATTGAAAAATAAATAAAACAAAGGAAATAGAAAAAAAAAACAAAAAAAGTAAAGTAAAACAAAAAAAGAGAAAATACATGAGTTCAATGTTCATTCGATCTAAATAATTATAATAACATAAAAATTAATATAATTTTCTAAATGTCAAAGAATGATATGTGTTAAATCTAAATCTCAAAAAATGTAAGTATAATTTATCCAATAAAACAATAAGCCATATTCAAAACAAGCCGTGGAAGAACGTAAAACCCCCAAATAAAATAAAATAAAATAGAAAATAAAAAGTGAGAATGAGTTTTAGATTTTTTTGTATGAGTTCAAAATTTTTAAATTTTTTCAAATTTTTAGTGATTTTTTAACTGAAATATCAACTACCCAATCAGGCCTCAACTCGTTTGGAAGTCTGAACTGTTTGCCAAAAAAATTATTTCGTGGTTCAGGATTATCACTTAATTATGGTCTCGTTTGTAATCTTTAATTTTAGTTAAAAAGTTAGAAAATTATTATAAGTTGTTATATCATTTTTTCTATTTTTTTACACATTATTTCATGAAAGACAAAAAATTACTAAAATAATTTATTCCCAAATGAAACTTAATTAATTATAAATCATTATATCTCTTATTATTTTTCAATCACCCTTCTCTCACTTTCTCCGCTAAGGCAATGTTAGGCATGTTGGTTTTGGATTTAAATAGTCAAAAAAATATGAAATATGCTAAAAAATTAAGGGTTTTCTTATTGATAAATTTCATTTGGAAGTGTTTTAACACAATAAGTCCATCAAAGAAAATTATAACCTAATTAGTCCTATGTATTTATACTTTTATTTCATGAGATGCTTTTTTTCTTATTTATATTGTTTGTTGGACTATTATATCCTTATGTCTATTTTTGATATATATTACATAGAAAATGGATATATACATTTCATTTTTGTTGCTACCTTTATTTTGGTAGTTACCATTATTTATTTATTTTCTTTTTGATCAGTTTCATTCACATTTGTGGTATTATTTCATTGTGCTAGGGTTTCGAAACTCTCTATTTGGTAGGGTTTAGAAATTCTAGTTTACACGTGGTGGTGGAATAATATTATGTTCCTCCATTGTCATTTTGTGTTCGAAGTTCTGTGCTCATCCATTGTTACTCTGTGTTCGAAACTCTATGTTTCTCTATTATTATAAGTCGAAACTCTGTTTATGTCCTGTCAACTTTGTTACAAACATATTCTTCAAATGTGGGTTGGATTTGATTTTAGATTGGTGGAATGATAAAATTACATAGATTGTTAATGATAGTGATAACGATAAAGATGATAATGAAGATGAGGATGCGGGTGATATTTTTTTATTTTTAGAGTGATTGATTTTTTTTTGGATTTCTAATTCTATTGTTGTCATTGTTTCTAATTTTTTGTCAATCAGCGTGAATGTTCACATTTCACATTATTTAAAAGTCTGAGAAATAAATATTGGAATATAGATATGGATATGATTATATATTTTGCAAGACGTGAATGTTCATATATCATTGATTATCTATTACTATACTTATCGTTTGAATAATAATTTTTTGTTACCATTAAACAATTGAAATAGTCTTTTTTTTCTTTTAATTTTGTTTCATATTACAGTGTGAATGTTCACATTTATGAATTTAATTTTTCTAAAGTTAATTATATGTTAATTGTAAATTGTAAATATTCACATTATATTTTGGTATGAAATTTTTTTTTAAAAGTTTTTTCGAAAGTTAGTTGTATGTTTTTTACTATGCTTGTTAGTTGAACAATATTTTTGTTACTATTGAACAATTGAAATAGTCAATTTTCACTTTTTTTCAATTTTATTTTATGTTTTCACGTTGTAGTGTGAATGTTCACATTGGTATGAGTTTATTTTTTTTAAAAAAAAAACTAGTTGTATATTAATTGTAAATTGTGAACATTCACATTATATTTTGGTATAAGTTTTATTTTTTTGAAAATTAATTGTATTTTGTTATTTTTGTTATTATGCTCGTTAGTCGAACAACCATTTTTATTACCATTGAACAATTGAAATAGTTGATTTTTATTTTTTTCAATTTTATTTTATGTTCTCACGTTATAGTGCAAATGTTAATATGAGTTATTTTTTTTAAGGCTAGTTATATGTTAATTATAAATTATGAACATTCACATCTTATTTTGGTATGAATTTTTTTTTTTGAAAGTTAATTGTATGTTTGTTTTTTATTATAAACATTCACATTGTACTTTAGTACTCCCTCCGTCCTAAAATAATGGTCATTTTTGGGGAATCTAACTTTTTTTGGTAGTACAATTATTGCATTTGAAAAAAGTTGATTTTCCAAAATTACCCTTTTGATAGTACATTTTTTGGGAATATCAATGTCATGATTGTACTTTTTATATTTATTAATTTAAAGAAGGGCAAAATAGGAAATTTATATTATTTTTTTACTTGATCTCTGAAGAGTGACTAATATTTTGGGACAATGAAAAATGGAATAAGGGACTAATATTCTGGGACGGAGGGAGTATGTGTTTTGTGTTTTCAAAAATTAGTTGTATGTTTGTTATTTACTGTGAATATTCACATTGTATTTTGATTTTTATTATTATTTTTTTGTTGCTTTATTTTAAAAATTTTCAAAATTCATAATTTGAGATTTTTTTCATGAATGTGGGAGAGATTTTATTCTTAGAATAAGGGGTTGTTTGGGATGTTCTAAATAAGTGTATTTTTTAACTTTTTAGATAAAAAAAGTAGAAAAAAAAATGATTATTTGGATAACTTTTTGACTTTTTACGAAAAAATGTGTATTAAAATATTGTATAAAATAACAAAATTATCATATTACCCCTAAATATATAATTACCTACTGATAATGATTGTACCGTCATGCATGCGGTTGGTAGCAAGATGTATAGGACCAGATTGCCTACGGTACTGTTTGGACTAGGTGGTGCTGTTCGGCCTGTGGGGGCCCACCACGTGTCCCGTTTTGATAATCGGAACCGTTCAATGTGTAAAACTCGCCGAATACTATATTCTTGTGAAAAATAACTTTGATCGAATATCAATAATTATCTGATCGCATTAATTTTTTTGTCAACCGTTACTTTGTATACCGTCTATTTTTTATACAAAATTGATTTGATCATAAACAATTTTGTATACCCCCACTGTAACACACCATGTGGCCGTGATACACGACCACCGAAAAACTTCTCTGTTTGCCAACGAGGTCATGGATGGAGCTACCAAATTAGTACGAATACCTTTCCGACACCAGTTTTCTGACAAATACTTAGGGATTGTTTAGAGTAATTTAAATAAGTGTATTTTTTATCTTTTTATGAAAAGATGTACAGAAAAATAAAGAGATGGTGTGATGAAAAAAAATAAAAAGATAGATTATTTTTAGATTGCCAAACTTGACCTTACTTTTCTCATGTAAATCAATCCTTTTTTCTTTTTTTTTTTCAATTTCAAGATTAGATAATAATCACGAGAATATACAGTATAAAAGTTTGAATTAACGTACCAAACACTGTACGTGCTTTCTAAACTTTTTTTTCTTAAAATATAAAAAGGACAAAAAGGAAAAAAGAACAGCTCACACACACTGAGCGGGCCGTTTCAGCACCCAACAAAATTTTCATGGCTTTTGTTACAGAGACAGACAATGCCAAAATCACTTTCTTTCTCTTTCTTTTTCTTTTTCTTTTCAAAACACAAAAATAAAAAAAAAAAATAAAGGAAGAAGGAGGTTGTCGTTGAATGAGGAGGTTGTCGTTGAATGAATGTGAATATATAAATGTTGAAAGAGAAAGGGGTGTCCCATGATATGATTCCTCTCAAATCTTCACCCATCATCATCATCCCATTTACATCTTTGCTCTCACAGTTTTACAGCTCATCTTCACAAGTGTATATGTATCTATGTATGTATTTACTGTACAGTATTTACTATAATAGTATAGCAATGTTAGGTATCATGAAAAGTCTTTCATGAAAATGGTCATGAAAGATTTGTGACCTTTGGATTACACTTACAATAAAACACCATACACTAATCAAGGTAATCTAAGAATCACAAATTTTTCATGATGATTTTCATGAAAAAATTATCATAATCCCTAACCTTTCTCATAATAGTAATAAGCATGGGGTGATATATCATCACGATTGTAAAAGAAGAAAAGGAAAGGAAAGTTGCAAAAATTCAAAATCCCAAATGGACAAATTTCACTTTCACACTTTCACATTTATCATCTTCATCTGTCAGAGATTTTTTACCTCTTCTAATCTCTTCTACCACCCACCACCCATCTTCCTCCATACTCTTTCTCTCTCATCAAGCTTATACTTTTTAGTAATGGATATTCAACAACATTTGCTTTGCTCTGCATATTCACCTCCATCTTCTTCCTTTTACTTTTCAAACCCTCAAAGTTTATCTTTTTCCCAATTTTCAGAGGTTCAATTAAAAAGCAAAACCCAAGTGCTCTACAGTAGGGTTTCTCTCTTTCTCTCTTTCTCTCTTTCATGTCTCTGAACTACCATTCTTTTTGCTCCTCCTACTCTCTCTCTCCCTCACTGATATGTTGTTTTGGACATTCTTGAACAACCCATCTGACCTCCTTATCCAGCTAAAATTCAAGCTCATCTCTCTTTGATCGGTTTGAATTTTGATACTCAAGTATCCATCAAAACGACAGTACTCTGTCTTCAACCTCTCTCTAATTATGTATCCATCAAAATCAATCTCTCTCTCCCTACAGTCAAAATAGTCCCCACAACCAACACTCAACAAAATACATTCTTCCATCTTCCCTCTGGTTCTAGAGAGAGAAAGAGAGAGTGAGAGGTCATACAAAAACCAAAATGCCAACCATTGCCGCCTTCTTCTTCTTCTTCTTCTTTCTCTTCTTCTTAACATCCACACCACTTCTCTCATCCTCCACCACAATCCACCACAACCGTCGGATCCTCCATCAACCCTTCTTCCCTCCACTTGATTCCCTCCCTCCAACCACCCAACCACCATTTCCATCTCCTCAACCTCAACCTCAACCCCAATCCCAATCCCAACAACAACCCAAATACCCATTCTCTCTCCTCTCTCCTCCCAACAAAGCAAACCCATTTTTCCCATTATACCCTTCTCCACCACCTCCTCCTCCCTCCGCCTCCCTAGCCACTTTTCCGGCCAACATCTCCTCCCTCATCCTCCCCAACTCCTCCCCTTCCAAACCCATCTCCCGAAAGCTCGTCGCCGTCGCTGTCTCTCTCTCCCTCCTCTCCGCCGCCCTCGTCACCGCCGTCGCCGCCTTCCTCCTCTACCACCGCCGCCACCGCTCTCTAACCGACGAGAAGGCCTCAAGAACAGACAGCCTCCGCTTGTTCCCGCCCAACACCACCACCTCCGACGGCGTCCTCAAGACTTCTCGTACCGTCTCTAGCACCAGCTCTGAGTTTCTTTACTTGGGTACATTGAGAGGAGTCGATGAGGACGATCACAAAGCTGCAAATTCAAACAATGCTGGTGGTGCTTCGTCTATGACAAGCTATGAGAAACTGGGTTCGCCGGAGCTCCACCCTCTTCCCCCGCTGCCAAAACAGAATTTCCCGCAAATTTTTTCGAATTCTGAGTTGGGTTCTAATGGAAACGGTGAAGAAGATGAAGAAGAAGAGGAGTTTTTCTCACCCAGAGGATCTTCGGGAGGTAAAGGGAGTCCTAATACTGATCATACTCGTCCTGGTTCGAGCGATCAGAGAGGGTTTTTGGGTGTGGAAGCTGAGAATTTTGGAAGTCGAAGCTCGAATTCGAGGAATGTTTCGTACCCATCTTCGAATTCTGCTTCCCCAACCAGTAATTCCTTGTCTAGCAGTCCCTATATACTCCTAAATTTAAGCCCCAGAAGCTTAAGATCCAAGTCTAGAGACTCAACCACCGATTTCCCAGCTCCGTCTCGGCCACCGCCGGCGATACCCCCTCCGAAGGGAAAGATTTTGTCCCCATCTCCACCATCTACACCACAAAAGAGAAATTCAGGGCATACCCAGAACTCCCCTGAAAGAAATTCTGATCTTACTGGACAGATTGAGCAACCTCAAGCTAGAAAACAGGGCGTTTCAGGGCAGTTTGTTGCTGTGAAATTGCCACCTCCACCGCCACCTCTGCCGCCACCGCGGTTTTGGGAAATTCCTTTTGCGCCACCGCAATCCAATCGAGAGGCAACGACAGGGCCACCAGTTCTTGTAGCGCCGTCTAGACCAGTTGTGTTTCAAAATCCGGAACTGGTATCGCTTTTGCCTGTTGAACAAGCACAGAATTTGGACTCTGTGGAGAGAAGTGAGGAAGTTTCGAAGCCTAAACTGAAAGCATTGCATTGGGATAAGGTTAGAGCCAGCTCGGACCGTGCAATGGCGTGGGATCAGCTGAAATCTAGCTCGTTCCAGTAAGATTTTTTTTAATTTTTTTTTGTTTTTTGAGTTCATCAATGTGTTATATATTGTATGGAATGAATGTTAACATTTTGGATTATTTAGCAAGTTTTATAGGTCTTGTAAGTTTGTAGAATGTGGATTATGTTGTTGCAGGTTAAATGAGGAGATGATTGAGACATTGTTTATGGTGCATGCTTCGAGTTTGGGTTCGAAAGATAACTCGTGGCGAGCAGTTCCACAGATGCAAAATCAAGAGAATCGGGTACTTGATCCAAAGAAGTCTCAGAACATTGCAATTTTGTTGAGAGCCCTTAATGTGACCATAGATGAAGTTTGTGAAGCCCTTTTAGAAGGTAACTAGTTGTCTTTATGAGTTTGTTCAAAGCTCCTATTTCTAAAATTGGTGAATTTTCAATATTGATGGATATATTTCTACGGTTAAATATAGATTGTGCATGTTTCAAGTTAGTTCTACTCTTTGGTGAATTAGGGTTAATACAGTCTTTTTACAAGTTAGTTTTGACTCAAAACTCTTTTGAAAAGTTTCCCTCGATGGTTTCCTAGACTATGGCTTGATAACGCAACTAAGTGAATGCGTTTAATAAATTAAACACTTAATTCTTAAAATTCACTGAAATTGAGTCTCAAGTCTGAGAGACTTTGACTTAACACTATAGGTTGAATACACACAATGGAAAGTAATTTTTATTTGGGAAATTTGAACTTGCAAAAACTTTATGAGAAAATGATGTGCCATGTGGTATTTTTTAATTAAAGAACCATTTGTAAGGGCGTTCTATTTTAACATGAAATGCCCAATTCAAACCACATCATATTGTAATATATATCATATATACAATTTCTAATTGGAATAGTATCAATCTATAAATCCAGTACAAGTTTTTAGTTTATCAATCAGCCCCTATGTTATTTGACACTTCTATGTGTTTGGTTGACATTGCAACTGAAAGTTACCGTAATTACTATTCAGTGAATTCTCTCTGTTTAAACTTAGATAGAGGTCTAATTTCTAAATGTAAGTTCCCGATATTGATGCTTCCTCACGCTTACATGAAGAGCAATTTCATCTTATGGCCTTTTATCTGTTAAGTTTTATTTGGTTAAATTTTGGAAACAATGCCTAATGTGCTTAATGAAAAAAAGAAAGAAAGAAAAATTACAATTGTAGTCTTAATGAAAAAGGTTGATTACGTAATTGAAATGATTTTGCTTTTCCTTCTCTGAACTGTGCTTGTTGCAGGAAGTGCCGATACACTGGGGTCAGAGCTTCTTGAAAGTTTATTAAAGATGGCTCCAACCAAGGTGGAAGAATGTAAACTGAAAGAGTTCAATGATGAATCACCATTTAAGCTAGGCCCTGCTGAGAAGTTTCTCAAGGCAGTGCTTCATATACCGTTTGCATTTCAGAGGGTGGATGCGATGCTTTACATAGCCAATTTTGACTCAGAGGTTGAGTATCTAAAGAGAACTTTTGAAACATTGGAGGTATGGTTTAATTCTCATCGTTTTAAATTGGATGTGCTGTGCATGCTTCATTTTTATCACCATCACCATCATCATTCATCATTGTCACTTATTGATGTTGTAGATTCATGATTGATTGAATCCTATATTACTCCATTAATATGCATTACGTTATTAAAACCCGGTCCTTCAGCCCAAGTGGTTTATTTATGCTTACATTTACATTTATAATTTAATATATCAATTTAGTGTGAGGTCTTTTTCTATATTTTATATATTGAACCACAAAAACAATGTTCAATGGACCACAAAGTTTGAGAACTTAAATCACCCATTTTTCTAAAGCTTCCAGGCTCCTATAACATCAGCAAAAGTATTGAATTAAGAACTGGCTTCAAATAAACAACTGAACCATCTCTGAGACTTTGTTTGTGACTTCCCATAAGATGCTGGCTTGTTGGTTATGAATTTGCAGAGATTGCTCCAAAATTGAAGAAAGAAAAATACATGTTGTGTGCGCGCGCGCACACGTGTGAGAGAGAGAGAGAGAGAATCCATGGATCCTGCCATTGTGGGAGAGAGATGGGTACTTTTGCTCAGTTAACAGTTGGGCAACAAGGCAATGTACAAAATTTGTATAGGCCAAATAAAGGACTTGTCACAATTCTATTTAGGAAAAGGTTAGAGAGCGCCTGAAAAAGTAACCCAAGCTGTTGGCAAAAGTGAAATGGGTGTAGGTTCAAACATAGTGATGTATGAATCAGGTCCACACCTCATTTTTTGACAACTTTTCCGGGAACTTTTTCGAGCGTGGCATTGTTGTTCTATTTAAACTGAAAAATTCTAATCTGAGTAATTGGGGAGGGGCCTACCTTGTGAACCTCGCCTTTTCAAATTGCCGTGTCACATCATGTCCATGTCCGTGTCCGCGTTTCTTAGGTTAGTGATATAGAAGAAAGGGAAATAAATTTGTTACTGCTTCCTGTAGGTACAATTCCTGACCATTTTTGTCCACTAGTCATCATAGTTTTCCTTCTCACAGGCTTCTTGTGGAGAGCTAAGGCAAAGCCGAATGTTCCTAAAGCTTCTAGAAGCTGTACTCAAAGCTGGGAACCGCATGAATGTTGGAACCAACCGTGGCGATGCCCATGCCTTCAAGCTCGACACCCTTCTGAAGATTGTGGACATTAAGAGTGCCGATGGGAAAACCACTCTCTTGCATTTTGTTGTACAGGAAATCAGCAGAGCTGAAGGTTCTCGCCTTACCGGTGTCAATCAGAGTCCAACAGCCGATAAAAACCAGCAATCTGCTTTTCAGGATGACATTGAATTCAGGAAGCTCGGTCTACAAGTTGTTTCTGGCTTGAGCGGTGAACTGACCAACGTAAAGAAAGCTGCTGCCATGGATTCAGAAGTGCTTAGTAGTGAAGTTACAAAACTAGCCTTGGGAATCACTAAGGTCAAGGAAGTGTTGAAATCAACTGAAGAAGTTGCATCGAAAGAGAGTACCCAGAAATTTTCAGAGTCGATGAACGAGTTCTTGAAGAAGGCAGAGGCAGAGATTGTGAAGGTACAAGAACAAGGGAGGGTTGCTCTGTCTTTGGTGAAGGAAATAACAGAGTATTTCCATGGAAACACGGCAAAGGAGGAAGCTCATCCATTCCGGATTTTCATGGTAGTGAGGGACTTTCTTTCCATTCTTGATCAGGTATGCAAGGATGTCGGGAAGATAAATGAGCGAAGCATCGTAAGTTCTGTGCGTCAGTTTCCGTTGCCAGTAAATTCAAACCTTCCACCAGTTTTTCCTGGATTCAATATAATTCGACAGTACAGCTCCTCTGATGATGATAGCTCATCTTCGCCTTAAAAACGTTAATAGGAGTTGGTTTTTTTGTGATTTGCTGATTTGTCTGATTGCAATACCTATCCAAATCTGGCGATCACTGTTGGTAAAATTTGTGTAGAAGATTTGGAATACTTTTATGCTCGTGTAATATACAGGGAACAGAATCAGATTAGAAAATAATGGGAATGGTATTGCCGGAATGGTCGGAGTTGGGTTAGATTGTAAATCTATGAAAAACTGGATTTGATGATTGTTGCTATTAAGGATTATGAACAATTTTCATCATTCTCTTTTGTTCATCTGTTAGCTGTAGCGTAGCTTTTGTTGGTTCTCTCTAGAAACTGTCATTGATCATAAGATGATCGAATCTTGGGTTTTTTTGGTTGGATAGAAACAATGACCGATTGAAAAAATAACCAGAACACAAACCAAAAAACAACACTAGTCACTGATAAGTTCCGAAAAAACTTGGCTCACTATAAACGTCTTCAACTCTTTTTTCAAGTATAGTGATGGATTGGGTAATTTTCCATGACATCAAAACCTCTACAAATATATCTTGACATTTGAACTCGTTTAGATCTGCGCCATCAGTAGAACACTATTCGCAAGGGGACCCGATTTGTCAACTGCTCCACATGCACAACAGAAAGTTGACCATGTCGCACTAACACAAGAATATCCTCTAAGAACTAGGATTAATTTGTTCAGAAAAATCTAAAAGATAAGAAGAGGAAAAATAAGAGCTTCTATTTCATTTTGTCTGTTCCTTTTACAAGTAATTAATTGACAAGAATCACAGGCATGGATGAGCATTACTCATTCACAGAAATTGGTGAAAATCCTTTTGCACATATGGAGTCAACCACATCTACCCACCTCAGTTGGAACCAGATCATATAAGCATAGTTTGGTATCAAGATGAAAATAGAGTTATGTAAATTGCATTTAATTTCAAAAATCAATAACCAACATCATAAGGAATAAGTTTCCAATCTATATTTACAAAATATTCTGCTCTGAGTTGTTTCAAACCAGGGGCTTGAACTTATTTCGTGCTCATATTTTCCTTAACTGGAAGACAAAAACATTCATGGATTAGCAAACTACAACAAACCCTCGGCATCCATTCGTTCAATGACCCGCCTTGCTTCCTCCTCTGTAGCAGGAACAACATTTCGAATCCTCAATCCATATTTCACAGCCTCTTTACGAATAGAGAACGTGAAATAGAACTTGTTTGACACCTGTTCAAATCACAGTACATATGCTCGTTCACACATTGAAAATCGCTGCACAACTTCAAATATATATATATAGGGAGGGACTATCGGGTGCTTACCTCACTGGACCTGTATTCAGGCCGTGTAACATGCGCTACAACTTCCACATTTATAAGAGGTTGAGCTGGGTTCTGAAGTTCTGTGTACAAAACACAAGACTTGAAACGAAGGAAATTTCCAACATCCACCTGCATAAGAAAATAAAACATTATCATTCCGTTAACATGCACTTGGCTTTGGTTAAATTGTTAAAAGCATGCAATGCTCAATGCAATCTTCGGATAGCAAAATTCATTTATGCCTTGAAAAATATAACAATCACCATGAGTTTTGTTGAAAAATTCGCTTGAGTGGGTTGATTGTCAGCATACTATTGACAATTTTGTGGATTTTTCTGTTTCTGATCTCCGATTAACTAATTGAATATCGTGTGCCTTGTACAAAAGGTTCAACCATAACTTTTGAAATTCAATTTGGCCTCAGAGCTACCCTTCGCATGATCCAGGGAATGATGAGGTTCTGAATCCTCTGAATTAAGAACTGTTCCTGGTAGTAACTACAATTAGTATGATTGATTCAAGAAAAGTAATAAGGTTCTACTCACTGGTCTTAGGAAATCCACATGATCAACTTCTAGGAAGCACGGTGCACTGCCAGCGAAAGCATAAGCTGTTGCAAAACCCAGTTCAAATGCTCTCCGCATTAAAAATCCACCAAAAATGCGACCATGGATGTTTCTTTGCTGTGGCTGGCAAATCAAAGAGTTCTGATGGCAAGTATCCCTTATGAGAATGCTATCTCTGTCTGCCAAAGCCGGCATGTCACAGAATACCCGCCCTTCGGCCATTAACTCTTTCAGCCTCTCTTCTTCACCATCATCGATCTCCTTTTTATGTTGTCCTCTTTTTTGTTTTCTCATTTTGTTCCTCTCTTCTGCTTCTTCCCAGAGCTTTTTTTCTTGTTCAGTTTCAGGTAATATTTGGTTAATGAGTGCTGATTTTCCAGTCTTTGAGTCACGAGCAACAAATGTGAAGTTTGCTATAAGAGCTACCGAGTCTAAAGGATTAGATTTTTCTGCAAAAGAGTGATCTTTAATAAAGCACCGCCAACAATTAACAAATAGCAGCAGCAATTTGATAGCATATTGAAGAACAATGGCACAATTTTTTGGAAACTGTATGTAGTAAAAATTTGAAAATGATTTACAAATATAATTTTCATTAAGAAAATCTACCAAGAATGATGTGATTTGAAGTTATGAGCCACAATGGTAGATGTTTTAGTTTGAAACGAAAGGATTACAAAACGCCCCGTCATTCTATATGAGATTTTGAACAAAAATTTTGTTTGCATAGCATCACCGATAAAAAAAAAATTTGATAGAACTTATCAAAATAGATACAAAAACAGACACTAATCAAATATCCTGAGATTCAGCAAAAATGAAATCAACCAAGATCTTGTCATGCTTCGAGCATAGGCAAATGTCCACAACATGAGTAAAACATTCGGATATATAACAAACTCAGTTTCAAGAGGACGTACTTTTAGGTCCTAGCACAACTCACTTAACTTACTTGCGATAGTGCACATCACAAACTTGGTAATATCTTATTTTTCAAACAAATTTCTACATCATATCTGCTATACCCACCGTCAAACTCTCCAAATGCTATGAGGGTCGAAAAGTTAAACATCTTAGGATAAAGTAAGGAATATTGGGAAATAGCAATGTTAAAAAGATTTCATGTCAATGTTCATAAAATTAACAAGGGAAAGGAAAACAAGAGAGAGAATGATTTCTTCAGGAGTACCTTCCCTAGACTGAGTCACTTCTAGTTGGATTTCCATAGAAGACCTCCCAACCCAGGTAACGGCACCAGCTATTTTTAGATCGATATCAACACGGATTGGCTTCTTGAGAACCATCTTGTCCACAGAAGCAGTGACTAATAGTACGGGCCTTGTTGTGCCCTCATTGTTACAACAGTGCTGATTCACAAAGGTATAAATCAAACAAGGCTTTTATTTTTGTTAAAAACATGAGGACACGTCTAATTACATCAAGTAATTAAAATCAGAGCAGACAGCAGAGATATAAAAGATTAAATTTAAAAAGCAGTAAAATAGGAAATGTTCTACTACACTACAGCAGCTCAGTTTTATCATCTCTAGGAGAGAGAGAGAGAGAGGGAATTACATAATTCTTTACTACTGTAACCAATCCTATTCCTACTTAGATGGGAATTGACAATTGCTTTTTTAGTAGCTTTTTTTGCTTTTAATCTTTTGATAATAGTTTAAAAAGTTACTTTTTGAGCCTTTTCAAACTTGCTTTCCGGTGAGAAATTATCATATTAGCCCTATAGTATTGTGGATCCCATGTAGGGACACAGTCAAAATTCTGAAAGAATTGAGGGTAAAATTGTTTTATTTTTTTTATATTTTTACAAATTTGCTTTAAAAAACTACTTTTTTTATATTTATATTATAAAAAATAAATAAAAATCCCAAACAAGCTTATTTGCGTTTTTTAAAAATTAACCAAAAAGTTTCTTATTTAGGAGATTCCATCCAAAGCCTAAGCCTTAGCAAATTCTACATAATGGTGGCATGGGGAACAGAACAATGCTTACAAATAGAAGATACTTGTGAAAAAAACACAAAAGACAGTATGTATATCAGTGCATAATAATAATCAATTCAAGGCTCAAGTAAATTAAAGGATCATCCAATCCCAAACCAAAATCCAATTCACATAAGACTATTCAACAACTGTCCACTAATCCAAACCCAACAAACTTTATAAAAAAAAACAGCACAATGCATTGAAAAAATCCAATTTTCAATCAAGAACAAGAATTTGAAAAGCCATAGTTATTAGTACCTTATATGATATGGTTCCAGCAAGAGCATCAAGGTCTTCAATTAATTTCCCCATCCTGATCTCATTCCAAGGGTTCCTATACTGCTCTCTAAGTATATAATCACTTGAGAATTTGTAGACAACACTAGTCCTACTCTGCGATGGAGTCTTCGTGATCAATTCACTCTGTGGAGCATCCTCTGGAACATTGGACAGTCTTTCGAAAATGCTTGACCTTGCTTCCCACAAAGCATTTGTCACAGGTGAATGGTACATTCCAGGCCACAAACTAATTGGCTTTCGAATTGAAGAGCCTGCATCGATCGGTGGAGAGCTTTCAATTGGTGAATTCCCGGTCGAAACAACCGAAATTGGAATAGAAACAGTGGAGTTAGGTTCCATGGAGTCCAATGGGTCTGATGGCTTACATGAAAACAACCTTGTTTGAGTGAAATTGAGTGATTTTGGGTCATATAAGGAGTTTTTGATGATGGGTTTTGATTTCTTAGATAAACCAAGCAAGTAGGGATTATTGGGTTCATTGGAATGGTGATTTGGAGATTTGAAGTGGGTTTTCAAGTGGGTGTTGCCAAAGTCATTGTTTTGGGGATTTGAAGAAGGGTTTATTGATAGATCAGAAAATGTTGAATTGGAGAAGTGGGTATTGAAAGATCCATGGTTTTGGGGGCTCAGTTTTGATGGGGTTTGTGTTGGGGGTGAATCAAGAATGAGAAAGTAAGGAACAAATGTGTGAAGTGATAAGTTGAGGTCGGATTTTGGGGGGAAGAGAGTGATAACCGAGGCTGATTTGAAGAAGTGGTGGGGAATTAAAACTGGTGTTCTTGGTGGTTTCATGATGTTTTGTTAGTTGAAATTGATCAAGTTCTGGTTTGCTTCCAGAGTTCTGTTTGAGAGAGAGAGAGAGAGAGAGAGAGCCTGGAAGAGTGTTGTTGGGGTTGGTTGAATAAAACAGGATCTTTCGCGGATTCATCACTCGGAATTTTGGGCATGCACAGCGGATTCAAGATCTGAGTTGTCCACAAACATCAAAATTGACTTTGAATAATTTATTTTTATTTCCCAATTTAAAGAGAGAGAGAGAGAGAGAGAGAGAGCCTGGAAGAGTGTTGTTGGGGTTGGTTGAATAAAACAGGATCTTTCGCGGATTCATCACTCGGAATGTTGGGCATGCATAGCGGATTCAAGATCTGAGTTGTCCACAAACATCAAAATTGACTTTGAATAATTTATTTTTATTTCCCAATTTAAAAATAAAAAAAATAAAAAACTTGGTATTTTATTTTTGAATTTATTTTTGTAAGTCAGGCCTTCTCCATGAACTCACTGTCTACCTGGTATTTTTTAAAATATTTTTTACAGTCTATTTATAATAAAAAAAATATTTAAAATATATGTTTGGTTTATCTCTCAAAATATATTTTTAGAGAAAAATTTTAAAAACATGTTTGGTTGAAAAAAATTTTAAAAAAAATTCAAAATTACTTTTCTCTCCACTACACCTCCATCAATCATTTTTTCTCTCTTCTCTCTCTTTCTTAATCATTTTTTCTCTCACATTCATATATTCAATTAAAAACAATATAGAAAAATGTTAGGAATATCAAATATTTTATCAAATGTTCTACCACACTTATATGAGACATTTGGTAAAATATTTGGGGTCTCTAATATTATTCAAAAATATATATTAAATCATTCCAAACTCCAAAACTATTTTTAAAATATATAACCAAATAAATTTTTAACTTTTTAAAACTTTTTTTAAAATAATAAATCAAACAAAATTTAAATATTTTTGATCAAAAAAACAAAAAAAAAAATTAAATATTTTATTACACTCAAATATTGATTTTTTTATATTCAGTAAAATGGATATGCAGATAGGCTACTCCAACATAACTGCTATGGGATATTGCCCCTTAACATTTACAACATATTTGCAAGGAATCTCACCGCATCTACGTAAGCTTAACCCCCATGTGCTCCAAGCACTAAAAAGTATGTTCAACCCCAACAAGAGATTATGAAGATTCTAACTCAAATCTTGAGTAAGAAATTCGAAAGTTTTATCCACTTAACCAACCACCTGTTGGTAAATACTCGAATATTAATTTATGTGTGAGTCTCACACTCTTTAAAAAAGAGATTCATGAGGTGACATTTACTCTTATTATGCATAAATCATAAAAAATATATTTTTTTAAAAAATATTATCTTAAATTTTTTATTAAATAAATAACCAAATATCTCACATGAGTATGAATCTCCACACTCATATAAGGCATCTAATTATTTATTTAATAAAAAATTTATTATTCCTATCATTACCCACTCTTGGAGAACACAATCATTGCAATATTAAGATGGAAAAATGCTTGAGAGTAATTAGGTGGCAGTGGGTCCCGTCATTAATGATGTGATGTTTTGATTTTAGAGTTGTATTTTTATTTTATTTTTACTTTTTTAATGTATTAGTACTATTAGTGGTGATGTTTTTAGTGGGATGAATCATTGTTGTAAGAATATGACAGGCAAAACAATGTTGGGACCATTCAGTGGAACGTGGTCGTTTCGGAAGGCACACGAGAAGTCTGTTTCACGTGTTTTGTTTTGTTTTGTTTTTTTTCAAATTTTCTAATTTATACTACTATGCCCACACAATCTTTCATTCATTTTTAATTCAAGACAACAAGTATACCACCTGAACCTACCAGAAAAGAAAATTGAAAAATATATATATATATATATAAATTAAATTAAATTTTTAGTTATTGATCTTGTTTGGCAAGATAATTGAGATTAATTTATAGATTATTTGACATAAACTAAATAAACGTACTTATTTAAATAAGTACACTTGTTTAGGTCATATCACCTCTTTACTTTTTTACGTATATTTTTGTAAAAAGTAAAAATATATTTATTTAAATCATTCCAAACAATCCCTTAACTTATTAAAAGACAAAATAAGCTAAAAAATCAATAACAGAAATGTCATATTCAAATCATAATTATTTTACTTTTTTTCTCACAAAATTACAAAAAAAGTCAAAAATTCGTCATAAATATTTTTTTTAATCAGATTAAAATAGCCAAAAAAAAAAAACCCACAAAAAAATCATGTTAAAAAAAACTCTTTCCAACGGAAGGCATTGTGTACTATGTCGAAAGAAGATATCTGCATAATTGAAAACAGCCTACTATTTTTAGTTGAGCAGACAGTTTTCAATTATTGGCTAAAATCAATCTCCAATAACCAGAAGTTCATATGTTGACTCAGGCCTGTTCTGGGTAAATGATAAAAAGTAATTTTGACTTTTAACCAAATTTTTTTCTTTTTTTTTTTTTTTTAACAAATAATTTGAAAAGTTGATAAAAAGTTACTTTTGATTTTTTTTATTAATATTTACTTATGATGTCAAATCACAATAAAATGACCAAATTACTCCTATTTAATTTAAAATATTTATAACTTTACCTATATAGCACATTTTGACCCACGAAAGGTAGCATTGTAATTTCACCATTGGCTAAAAATTAACTTCCCAAATAAAAAAATATATACTCCCTCCGTCCCAAAATAATGGTCCCTTTTGGGGAATCCAACTTTTTTTGGTAGTACAATTATTGCATTTGAAAAAAATTAATTTTCCAAAATTATCCTTTTGATAGTACATTTTTTGGGAATATCAATGTCATAATTGTACTTTTTATATTGTTTATTAATTTAAAAGAAGGGCAAAATAGGAAATTTATATTATTTTTGTACTTGATTTTGAAGAGGGACTAATATTTTGGGACAATGAATAATGGAATAAGAGACTAATATTTTGAGACGGAGGGAGTATATAAAAAATTAGCTTTTAACTTTTACAACAAATCAAAAAAAAGTGACTAAAAACTATGTTCTCAAAAAGGCCTCAACCAATCACTAACATGTGAGGAGTTCATTTCCTAAGTTTCTTTGTTTGTTTTTTTCTCTCTCTATGCCTTTGTTTTCTAGAAATAATTGTTCAACCGTTTTCTTTCTTTCTTTCTTGATGTAATTCCATTTTTGTTTTGCATCTTAAAATTTTCAAATTCAAATATTTTAGTTACATTGGTTGTAATACTTGGTGTCATCTTTGGATAAATAAGTTAGCAACAATGATAGAGACCACTAATTTTGAAGCTCTAAAAAGACCACTAATGACATGACACTCAATAAAAAAAGAAAAAAAATATAGCACCAAGGCCAAAATATCAAATCATTCATGGTAAACTCACTGTCACATCATTAGTAATAGCACTAATTAGTGCTCTCACTCATTTTCCATAAGTTAGATTGTTCAAATACATGACTTCAAATCTATAGTTGTACTTGTGTCAGTGACTTTTGTTTAAAATATATATAATCCATAATGTTGGTCTAAATTCAAGCAATTAAAGCTACTTTATGCTGAATATTATTCTCTAAAGGCCCACAAAACCAGCTTTAAAAGAGATTTTAGCCTTTTCTAGCTCAAATGGCCCAAACAAAATCTTCAAATGTGCTTAAGCTGGCAGCCCATACAGGTTCCTGAAATTGCCTACCAAGGCCCTGGTTTTCAGTCCCATGTGGCCCAATTCTTCTTTCATTTCAAACTGAACTCATTTGGACTCATAAAAAATTCATTCAAAATTAACTCATTCTATAAAAAGTCAAAGTCACATTTTAAAAATTCATTAATTTTTTTAATTTAACTTCACAAATTACATGCACTATGAAAACAAAACTACTTAAACTCGGCTTGTTAGTCAAGATTAAACACATTTTCAAACTTGTTAATTACACCAAGCTGAAACAATTTACTACTCAACTAATTTACTGTTACCAAATACAAGATGCTTATAATATTGTACACATCATGAATACTAGTTGGTTAAAATTCTTGCACTTTATTAAGAGATTAAGAGTTTTAGGTCTTACAACATGCAAAATTTATTTTTCATCAAGTTAAGGCCTCCAATGTAAAACCCAAAAACAAAACAAATCAAAAGAAAATTTAAGGTAGTGTTTGGTGGAGTTTTGTAAATGTGATTTGAGAGTATTAATTGTATTTTGAATTTGTGTGTTGTGAAATTATGATTTGAGTGTAAAAAAATTTGTTTGGTTATGATTTTTAAATAGAATGTTGAAATGTGTTTTGAAGATGTATTTTGAATTAAATTTTAAAAGTTTGATGTGACATGTGAAATAAGAAAATTTGTTTGGTGATGTGTTTTGGAAATAATTTTCGAAACTTAATTCAATCAATAATTTATAATCAAACACACAACTCATATATTGATATCTGTATTTTTTATCAACAGTAATAACCAAACTATTTTTAAAATACTGAAATTAAAAATTAATTTTTTTTTCAATTAATTTTTTCAGTAATTTTTTTTGAATAATTTTTTTTTCATTTTAAAATAAATCTATGTCAATTATTTTGTGTCAATTAAATTTTCTATCAATTCATTTTTTACGCCCGTACAAACATCTTCTACAATATGTTTTTTAATTTTTTCTAAAATTTTGTTAAAGTCAACAACTTTTGAGAATACATATTAATAAAAATTAACATAAATACACTAAGTTTAATATTTTAAAATAGAAATCATAACGTAAACCTTACAAAACATTATCAATTTTTCTTCTCATTTATTACACGTTATTAATTTAGTAATAAAGTCGTAACAGATTGTTCAGTATTTGTTTTGTATACGGATGTAATATTATTAAAAAATTATTAATATTATAAAAAAATAATAGATAAGAAATAAATAGTAAAAAATAAAAATAAAAAACAACCTGAATCTTTTGAACCTTCTGAGTAGCTTCAGATAGTCGAACACCCGGAAGTCGGACCGGGACAACTGGGCGGTCATCCCATCTCACTCCAATTCCCACTCATTGGAAGCTTTTCAGAAAAGAAATATGAGGTTCACGTTAAATTTTCAAAGACGATGGAGAAGGATATGGAAGCTTTTCAGATCAAAAGAGAAAGAAAGATGAAGTTCACGTGAAATTTTCAAAGACGATGGAGAAGGACATGGAAGCTTTTCAGATCAAAAGAGGAAGAAGGCAGAAACGTTAAAAGTGGAGAACTGAAGTACAAGCTGCCAAACGAGTTTTCAAACTGTAATTTGAATTAACACGCGGAATTGTATTTTGAATGTCCTATCCAAACGTGAAACGGGAGTTAACGTGTTGAAAGTTAATTTGAAAATACAATCAAACAGAGCCAATTTAACATACACCAGATTGGTTTTCTTAAGTTAATTGTTTTCATCTTTTTTTGTCACAAGCTTTACATTATTCATGACACAGGCCAGCTAAATATTAGCCTGAATTCTTTTATGAGCATACAACAAAGTATAATTTAATTAAAGTCATAAAAAACCTGACTGCCGAGATGAGAATGGGCCCATCGCATTCTTCGCCACCAACACTTTGCTTACCAAAAGTTTCCACTTTGCCTCGTCTTTCTTGCTCTGCTGCTGCATTTTCTCCTTGAAATGCCTAAAAAACAATGTAAGAAATTGTTACTATCATCACCCACCATCACACATTCACCACATTCTAAAATCTACCTTTTCTCTTAATCAGCAATACTTCCCGGCTTGCCTTCTAACTGGAGGATTGCAATATGCGCTGTTGAATTGCTCCCCCCAGAACAAAAAATGGAGATTCCATCATTGAGAAGGATACAAATACAGTAATCTTTATTTTTATTTTTTTCTGGTAAGCTATTATTTTCTAGACTGGGTATAAATGAAAGCAATCTAGAATGGTTTGCAGCAGGGACGAAGCTAGAAATTTGGCTTAAAAGGGGCCGAGGTAAGTGTGACAAAAAAAAATTAGTCATTTTTAGAAAATGACTTTTACTTGCATAAGTTTATATAATTTATTGGACTATCATTTTAAGACATTTTATTGATACATATAATTCAATTACCTCTATAATTTTTATAATCAGAAAAACAACTGACATTCACATCAAACTTATAGAATTGATGCTATTACATAAAATGTAAGATAATTTGAGATCATGCCATATATATTATAGAAATATTTAGGGCCAACAAAAGAATTTTAAAAAATTTAAGGGCCCATTTTACCTACATTATAGAAAACTTATAAATTAAAGGAATAAAACAATTTTGAAATGCTAGGTTTGTAGTGAACCATTCAATTATTAATAAAATTTTGCGCTTACCTACAAAGAGGGACCTTGCAATAGTCAGGGTCGTTGCACATGCGGGAATGCAATTCAAGAAGCTGCCACATGCGCTTGCAGTGCACACATCCACCAGGAACCCGGCTCTTACAACCGGAGAAATGACGGACTAGAGTCTCGAGCACTTTGCAAGCTGGGAAACTGCAAGCAACCTGGCTTCCCTTCAGCAGCTTGTCCCGGGGTCCAATTGTCCTACACCCATCCCTGCATATGTGAAGCAGCGCTTCCATCGCCTCATACAGTTGCAAGTAAATCTTTTTCTCTTCAAGTTTCTTCAGCCTCTCTTGTTTTCTCTGACAAGAAAAGTTGATATCCGTACGGTAAAAATATTGAACTAAAATCTTGAAATGATGAAATGGGCATTCCCTTGCAATGATGAATAATTGTATTTGCTGGGCTTAGGCCCCCTCTTCTGTCACCAAGGAAGGGAAGAAAAAAAAAGGAATAATTGTATTTGCAGTGCACTTTTCATAATTTTTTTAGTGAACCAAATGTGTGAATGGACATTCTGATGGAATGATCATTCATTTCCAATGAACCAAACATAGCATTAGGGAGCGGACAAATTTTCATAGTGTAGACATTTCATTTCACTATAAACGGTTTTTACCACTTTATGTAATGTTTGCGACTCATGACACACACATAATATCCCTTCTCAATAGATTAGACTCAACTTAAGCACGGCATCTAAACAATGAAAGAAAGTACAGTAGTTGACTTACAGAATCTGTTTCCACAACTGCCCCCAGAAGCTCTTGTTCAAGGGCTGGATTAGCACGCCTCATAACCTTCCATCCTTCGGTAGAAGCTATGGTTTTAAAGTCCCTCACAATCATACGAACACAAGTCAAGGAAAGGCGTGGTGCATCGCAACATCTTGCTAATTGAAGCACATCAATCACATTTTCTGTGGTAGTCCAACCCTGCTCCAACAAATGTACACAAACTCTTTTAAGTGATGGTACTGTGTAGGACTGTGACAAAACCAATAAATGGAGAACAAACTTCTTCATCTCTTCCTCTTCATAACTGCATTAGGATATCAAAGGAATCACAACTTAGAAAGTTACATATAGAATAGCCAGGATGCCACAGACACAAACTCTAAGCACCCAATTTTATTTATATCTTCACTTGAGGATCTATGCAAGTTACAAACACGGATACAATGAAAAGTGCACAAAAATGGTTGACATTCATACCAAAGACAACCACACTTAGTGGCGATCATGCCATATCTATTGGTTAGATATACAAAAGCCCAAAACCAGGTTTGCGGGCATCACACTACCCAATGAAGACTTTAGTTTTATTTTGTTATTCCATATTTTTCCAAATAAAATTTCACTTGTCAATCATTATGATATGTTCTCAAAGAAATTGATGTTACCATCTTTTTTTTTCTTAATTTTTATTTAAAGATGTTTTTTCTGTGGTTCTGAGAGCAGGTGAAACTTTATAGGCATCCAATTTTTGCTGTCTGAATATTTGTTTCTGCACTTGGATAATGATCAAATTTAAAGTCAAATAACGAAGAGATTAGAGAGAGAAAGAACTGTATATTTGGCTTGGTTGAGGACAATACAGCAAGAAAAGAGCTAGAGATAAATGTTAGATAAATCACCTCTTCCTCACGTGTCTTTGTAATTTTTTTTTTTTCCTAGCCATATTTAATTTTTTGGTTCTAGCCTTGTCGTATCCTCAACAAACATCGACTTCACTTTAAATTATTTTCCAAAGGACTTCTCGAAAGTCCTTACATCATCAAAAGCTAAGCCAATCGTAGCCTCCTTTTTACCATATATAATTATTTACTAAGTTAATTGAGGAAAAAACAAATGAATGTCCAAAGAATGATCTATTTGGCACCAAGGATATACTTAACTAATTGAAGAATTCAAAAGAGAAATTTCCAACATACCAGGATGAGTAAAGGAAACGTATGAAAGCACAGGCGGCTTGATGAGGTACCCCAGGAATTTTAATGTACCTGATACCACTCTTAACTTTAGATTGCTGAAGGAAATTCCCCAGGACTGGTGATGCAATACTCTGCACAACCAAAAACAAGAGTTCGTAAGTCTCTCCTTTTTTCTTTTCTTTTTTTCTTTATTGGTACATTTTCTACCATATCCCTGACAAAAAAACATTTTCACTTATTCCATAATGTTCAGGCAGGGCACAACTTGCCAACAAAGTATACACCTCAGCATAATGGGTTTTGTATTCTATCAAATTAAAATTACATTTTACTACAGGCAATCAAATTTAAGATTATTGCAGAACCTCAAAGCTTGTCAAATTCTTAGCGAAAAGAACATTTAAAGCAAGCACAAAATATCATTTTAAGTGAAAATGTCTATGCCCTTCAGGTAATAGTCTACACTCAATTGGTTTTACTCAAAATACCCTTTTAATTTACTCACCAGAACGCTGGAATGAGCAGGAATAATTGTCTTCTCCTTGGTGATAATATGGACATCTGCTCCGTACCCTTCTTTGAAGAGCTTGTTCCACATATCTTTTGTTTCCTTTGGGACACAACAACAAACTTCAAGCCTTTTGGATAAAGTGTTTCTTGTATAGTTTTTGCCAGGGAGTGGAGGTGGTTCGGGGATACGACTGCCACGGCGTACAGAGGTGGTGGGAACTTCGAGAAAAGATAAACCATCTGTGGAATTCTCTTCCTCTACGTGTATATAGAAAGACCCATCAAAGGACTCAACTTCTGAGGATGGCCATGGGGAATCAAGATCTGCTGAAGCCATAAACTAGTCGTATGCTTAAAACAAAGTTCGAAGTTTCTGGAAATCTGTGTAGAAAATAAAATAAGATTGTGAGACTTTCTGTTAATTTTCCAAATCCAAAGTGAGTTTGGAAGTTCACTATGCTATTGCTAATAAATTTGTATGTGTTAGACTCTAATTTAGATAGACTGCCAAGACAATATTTGAATGTCAAAAAGATTAGAACTTCTTCCCAAAAGGAATCTTCACGGGTATATTTGAATCAATTAGGAAAAGAATCAATAACAGAATTCCTTCTCAATTATTCAAGGACTGGACCATCGGCTAAAGTTGGCTTGTAGGCCTAACTCTAAAATCCCTTACTTTGAAGTCAGGAATTTCTTTGAATTTCTTTCGTGTCCATGGAATCAAGTCTTAGGTTTTTTAAGCTTTTAACCCATCAAAGAAAGAGGAACACCCACAAGGCCCCAAATCCATCTTTCATCATTGCTAAAAGAATAACAATAGTTGGGGAATAACTAACTACAGTTGTGTAGACAAAATCTAAACTCACTATTTTCAAGAATCTGAACAGAGATGAATGGATTTACCTTAAAGTCAAAGCATATAAAAGTTATATCTTTACCAAATACATGATGTGGTAACATGTAAGCAAAAGTTGTAAGCAAAAGTAATTAGTCGGTTAACGAAAAGGAAAATTAAATAGAAACTAATAGGGCAAATTACATATACCTCTCGAGGTTTGGCTAAATTACAGATACCCCTGAGGTTTTGGAAATTACATCCCGCCCCCTGAGATTTGTATTTTCATAACAATTTGCCCCCTGAGGTTTATATTTCATAACAAATTACCCCATAATTTCTTATGCAAATATAGCATTCAGGGGGGAATTCGTAATTTCTCAAACCTCAGGGGTATTTGTAATTTAACCAAACCTTGAGGGGTATATGTAATTTGCCCAAACTAATAATATTTACAAACTTTTCTTACTAGTGGATGCCTCATGAAATAATAATACTTTGTTACTTGAAATGGGACCTACTAAAATAAAATTAAAAATTATTTGTTAGTGCAGCACAGGAACAAATCATAGCTTAGCCTTAAAAAATATTTTAAGGGTAAATTACACCGACCTCCTTGAGGTTTGAAGAAAATTCAACAAGCCTCATAGTTTTAATATAATTATACATATCTCCCCTTTAGTAAAGTTAAAAAACACCAAAACTAATGCAGATGGTATAAAACACAATGATACACAATGTAAGAGAGATGACAATGTCAATTTTTCATTCATACGACTAATGAATTTCTAATGAAAAAGGAGCAAAGTGTTTATATGAATTACAACCTTAAAAGGAGCCCATTGTAATTATGCAATCTTGTAAGGCTTTCTGTATTTTCTCTAAACCTCGAGTTCAGTGTAATTACCCTTATTTTAAATAGTAGAAGCAGCTGTATATATACCCTTATTTTAAATAGTAGAAGCAGCTGTATTAAATAACTATTTAGATAAACCCATCTCTTTAAAATACTATAAAATCTGGAAACATAGGAAAAAGCTGGATCCGAGGAGGTCCCAACTGTGCACCTTCCAACCATTTAATTGAACAAATACTAATACAAAACAAATCCCCAGAGATTGCAGAGCAACTTTAACGATATGTACTAAGTGAGGCAATCAATAACTGAACAAAAATCAGTTAAGCTCCCACAAAAACCAAATCAGAATACCCCAATTGCTGGCAAAGAAAACATCAAACAATAAATGTATCCAAACATTAAAATTCAAAAATTTCTTGATTATAAACACAAACATAATATAGATTCAGTCATATATATATATAGACGAGTATATCAAGTGATGAAAAGAGCATACCTGTTGGATGAACAGCGTGCAAATCTCCTTAAAATTTTGAGATTTGTGCGATCTACCATACCACAGAGTTCTAAAGTTGATATACACTAATTCAACAGAGCTATAGAACCTGAAACAAAATTCAAAATCAAAACAAACCCAAAAAAACTGATCAGTACTTGCAAAGCAAACTCAAAATCAATTGTCGAAAAAATAAACAAATAAAAATTGAAATCGAAAAGGAAAAGGAAAAGGAAAGAAATTAACCCATTTTGTAAGGGGGAAAATCGAAACATCGATAAAACATACAAACTGTGACAATCTTTCCGAAAATGAAAAACCAAAAAATAAAAAATAAAAATTAAGTGGATAAAGATAATCAAATGCATCGAATTGAAAGGGAATAAATCGAAAGTTACCACGATGATAAAGATTGATGTGTGTATATAGTATGTATATTGATTTGTTGGAACTTTTGATGGATCGACTGACTTGAGAAGATGAGTGAAGGTGAGTAGAGGATGATATGTACAGATTTTCTCTATCTCTCCTTCTCTTGGGTTGACAGCAGAGTACCTAGAAACAGAGCATTTGGTACGTGCCAGAAAGAGGAGGGAAAAAAAGGAGAGGCCGACGAGGAGTGCAATGTGTGTTTGTACTCGGATGGGTAATGAATGAATACAGCACAGGTCTAACATATGATTATTTATTCGGTATTTTTGAAATATAAATACGTGATATTTTATAAGATTTTGATTGATATTATAAAATTTTAATTGATAGAGAGAGAGGGGTAGAAACTCACCATCTATATTGGGAATAGAAGAATAACATGAGACTAAATAATTAATAATTAACTTAAAATATAAACACATAATATTATGAGATTATTGAATAATTTTTCAAACGTAGTCCAAAACTTTTGTTTTCTTTCTCATTTGTTTATTAGTATTTTGTGATTTATGATTACAGTAATATTTCACTTGTCATCTGTTCAAGGGCCCGTTTGTTTTTTATTTTTTTTATTATAGTTTTTTTTAGCTTAAAAAATCGTAAAAAATGAAAAAAATTTATAATATCATATTATATACATTAAATAATTATTTTTCTTTCACAATTATCTCTTCAATTAAAAAATATCATGCCAAACAAACTAACCTTTTTAACTAAAAAAAAAACAATTAGCCTAGTTTTGGGTATAAAAAAAACAAACAGCTTATTGATTTATTATTTAGGTTATATTATTTTTTTTACTTTTATGTATGTCTTTTCAAAATAAGTCAAAATGTCAAAAAAATTAAATCATACCCAAAATAAGCTTAAAAAACCAAGTTGCCAAAATTTGTATGGAATTGCATAAATGACTAAAAACAAAATTTAGGTCTCGTTTGGAAACAGGTTAATTTAGTAATTTTTTAGTTATTTGACTAAAATATGAGTTAAAAAAATTAATATATTTGGAATGACTTTTTAGCTTTTTACGAAAATATGTACAAAAAATAGAGAGAAAAGAAAATTCTTACCTTTTGATATGGGTTGTTTGCTTTTTTATTTTTTTAGTAACTTTTTGACTTTTTGGCTAAACCGATCGCTTCGGCAAGTGACTTTTTTAGCCAAAAAATCAAAAAAGTTACTAAAAAAGTCAAAAATCAACAACCTATATCGAAAAGTCAAATATTCATTTTTCTCTTTACTTTTTGCACATCTTTTCATAAGAAATCAAAAAAAATTTCCAGACATATTAATTTTTTTACATCATATTTTAGTCAAAAAATTAAAAAGTTATTAAAAATACATGTTCCCAAACGAGGGCTTAAATGGGATTTATTGTATTAATTTTTATGATTATATTATATTATAATATAAAAATATAATAAATGTAATATTGTTGTTGTGATTATAATAGCATGTCTTTAGGGTTTAGGCAGTGCCGGCCCTGGCAATGGGCCAACCAGGTTATGAACTAGGACCTTTTAAAATAGATCTAAAAAGAGGGTCCCTTTCTATTATGATTTAATATAATGTATTAGGTATGTTTTAAGTTTAAAAAAAAAATTAAAGAAGACTCAAACTAATTTAAAATAAATTGATCCATTAAAAAATTGAAAGGCCCATATGTTTTCAATCAAAAAAAATTAAGGAAGACCCAAACTAACTTAAAATAAATTGATCCATTAAAAAATTGAAATGCCCATTTTAAATAATTAGCATTGTTATCCATTGAAAATGATTTTGCAAAAAAATAGATTATGTAAGTATGATTGATTTATTTGTTTCTAAAAATGCAAGAAAAGCGAGGATTAAGCGACACTTATTAATTATTGTAATGTAATACTAAGTATTTTTTATGATTTTGATATAATTTTTTTGTCTTTTATCTTCATTTTTTTTTTTCATTCAATAAAAAAAATGCGAAGGGCCTCAAAAATTTATTAGTTGATTATTGATTTTGGGCCCCAAAAATCTCAGGACGGGCTTGGGTTTAGGATAGTTTTTTTTTTTTTTTTAATAAAAATTTTTGGGTTTCCCCACAAAAAAATTGTGTCATCTAGTTTAGATATTGTTTTGTCATAAATTTTACCTTTCAAAGGTTTGAGGATATCAATCCAAGTTAAATTTGCTAGGCATACAAGGACTGTGTATGAATATTTAATAGTGTTACATTTTCAATTAATGTTTTAGGATCTTACCCTCGTATTTTTTCTAACCTCATGAAGACATGTATACTGTAAGTTATATATAATCTTAACTTTATATGATGAGTTAATTACTATCGATCAATTTATAAATTGGGATTCAACAGATTTGTTTGGGGTTAACTACAATAGCACACTTTTTATTTTTTTAGGTCATATTACTTCTCTACTTTTATGTACATATTTTTTTTATAAAAAATCAAAAAATATATTTATTTAGATTATTCTAAACAACCCCTTAATATATTTGAAAAAATTTAGAGTAGCCACTTAGGCCAAGTTTGGGAAGACTAAATAAGTGCACTTTTTGTCTTTTTAGACTAAAAAGTTGAGGTTGAAAATATGAATGTTTGGATTAACTTTTTGACTTTTTATGAAAAAATGTGTAATAAAAAATTCTAAAAATTAGTTTGTAAGGGAAAATTAGAATTAGGAATTGTGCAACCGTAATTGTTGACTTTTGGTGAATAGTAATGATTTTTTAACTTTTTAAATAACTTTTTGACTTTTTGACTTTTTTTAAACTATCCAAACCTTAATAAGAGTTTGAGTATGTCACGGCAGCCATGGAAATTCATTTGAAAATGACTTTTTGGAGAAAAGTTTCAATTTGTTAACCTTTCTGTGGGCATACTTGCTCAAAATTTGTGATTTTCGTTTTGGACTTTGAAATAAGAAATAAGTTTGGGGGTTTATTATTACAAAGAGAAAAGGTGTTAGAACCTTCTATAATTTTTCATAAAGGGCTTTGGTTGGTAGCTCAAAAAACAGTGGCCTTAATGGCTCTAAATTTCCATATAAGGCAACAAAAAAAAAAACAAGGCAAAAAGGCAAAAAAAAAAAAAAACAAACTTATCCAAAAAAGGAAATTAGGGCCATTAGGGCCACTGTTTTTAGGGCCACAATTCATTTTCCTTTTATTAATTAAACTTCTAGAAGCAGATCAAATTCGGTTTAAAGAAAAAGCTATTTTTGAAATAGGAGAATATGTTTAAAAAATATGAAAAAAACATTTTGTTCATTTTTTTTTTTTTTTTTGACATCAACGCTACTATATCATGAGGTTTCGTTTGGAAAGTGTTTTTTTAGTAATTTTTTATGAAAATATGAAATAAAAATTATAATAAGTGTTTGAAAACAAAATTTTAATTCTTACAAAAAAAATGTATAAAAAAGATATTTAACAATTTTTGTATAATTTTTAAATTTTTTGCAAAACTCATCTTTTTAAACAAGGCATGTTTCATGCAAATTGAGATAAATCTTAGAATTGTAACACTAAGGTCAAGTTTGGGAAGACTAAAAAAGTGTATTTTTTGTCTTTTTAGACTAAAAAATTGAGGTTGAAAATATGGATGTTTGGGTTAACTTTTTGACTTTTTATTGAAAAATGTGTAATAAAAAAATGAAAAAATTGATTCGTAGGGACAATATTTTGAAAGGTTTTCTGTAGGGAAAAATTTGAATTGGGAGTTGTGCAGCCGTAATTGTTGACTTTTGGTGAATAGTGTTAACTTTTTAACTTTTTGAGTAACTTTTTGATTTTTTGACTTTTTTGGAAGTACCCAAACTTGGCCTAATTGAACCTTCTCAAGTGAATATACAATAATTATATGGTATTGTTTGGAAAAATTGATTTCTACTGAAAAATTATTATAAATTATTAAATTATTATCTCAAATTTTTATATATTTTTTCATGAAATGTCAAAAAACTATTAAAAGAATAATGCCTTGTTTGGTTTGGCTTTGGGAAAAATGTCAAAAAAATTTTAAAAGAATTAGGCCTTGTTTGGTTTGGCTTTGGGAAAAAGATTTTGGAGAAAATTTTTGAAAATTTTGTTTGGTTCGTAATTTTTCTCAAAAAAATTTCAAAATCACTTTCTCTCTTTTACACATCAATCAATCACCTTTTTTTTCTCCTCTCTCCTTTTCAATCGTTTTTCTCTCACATACATTTACTCAATTACAACAAAATACCAAATCATTCCAAACTCCCAAATTCCAAAATCATTTTCAAAATATATAACCAAACAAACTACAAAAATTTCTAAACTCTCTTTCTAAAATATTTTTTAAAAACTTATCTCCCAAAATTAAACCAAACAAGGCTTTAATTTCCAAACTTGCTCACAAACCAAATCATTTACTTCGTAATACAATTTTATATTTCTTTAATTCACATGCCTACTATTATATTATTATTATTATTATTATTATTATTATTATTATTATTATTATTATTTTGTTTGATATTAGCTATTAAGGCTTCATTTAGGAATGAACTATTTTAAAAAAAAATTAAATTTTTATGAAAAGATGTGTAAAAAAATAAAGATAATTATATGACAATTTTTAGTAACTTTTTAGCTAAAACATATAATTGTCAAACAAGGCCTCAGTAATGTTAGAAACTTATAATTTGGACCTCTAAATTTATTTACAATGATATGGTATCTAGGGGTGTAAATTTGGCCCAGCCCAACCCACCCAAGCTTGGGCCAGACCCGATCCATGTCAGACCTCGCGGGCTCCGGCCAAAATTCAGATCGGGTTGGCCTACGGGCAAAAAAATTAAGCCAGACCTAAGCCCAAGCCCAGGAGTATTCGGGCCGGCCTAATGGGCTTGGGCTTGGCTTTGGTGGGCCTAACCATTTTTTTTGTTTTAATTTTTTTTTTACCAAATTTTTATTATTTTCTATTAAAAAATACAACGGGCCTTGGCGCGGACCGGGCTTCGGGTCAAGCCCTATAGTGGGCCTTAAGTGAGCCAAACTGGACTTCACAACAATGGCCCAGGCCCCTAGCCTAGGGGACTCAGGTTGGACTCGGGCCTAGGCCCAAGTGAGCTTAAACGGACCAGGCCCATCTCGGACCGCAGACTATTTTTACACCCCTAATGGTATCCTATACAATTAAAAATATGATAAATTAAAAATTATCTTATCACATCATTATAAATCAAATTATAAGAATTTTTT